TCAGGCCCTGGGCCTGTAGTGGTTGCTTGCGCCCAACTGTCAACGGCATGTGTTAGGCCCACATCCCGTATCCAGTCCAGGGCCTGCCTTCGATATATTCAAACAGGCTGCCCAGGGCGTGGGTTCTTCCAACCAACTGGCGCTGCGCAACTGCCTGAATTTCCTTGAGTTGCGTGGTTACCAAAATAGGGGCCCTCAGGCCCTCGTCGTGCCTGCCTTCACTTAGGGCGGCCGACGTGATACTTGCCAGGGCCTGAAAGGGGCTCATAGGGGCATAAGCGTTGCATTCCCTCCTCCATAACTTCGCTAGTCCTCTGAAAAGTTCAGTCTTCGATGATCTGGCGCTTTCCCTTCTGCAGAGATTTCTCATATTGAGCTATGATATGAGGAGCGGTCTGCATGAGTTCCTCCCTAGTGAACCAGCGGTCCTTTGGATCTAGATGATGTCGGAACCGAACTCGGTACTGCAGCTTCGGTTTCGGAGGACGTCCCCTGCCTGTCGGTCTTGGAACGGGCAGCTCCCTGTGATCCACGATGTCGTCTATGTCCACCTCTCCATCCATGGTTGGGAGCAGGATTGAGCGTCGAGAAGGAAACTGATTTGTTTCCTTGAAAGGTGCAAGCTTGGAGGCGTGAAAGACGGGGTAAGTGCGTAAGGGACGAAGGATGCGAATAACATAAGACGGGCCATCCGGTTCATTCCCCACGACATCCAATACCTCCCACGGTCCAAAGTAATGTGGCATGAGTTTACGGGATATCCCGTACTCTTGTCCCAGTTCGGAGGACTTCACCCAGACTCCTTCCCCTACCTGGAATGTAGATGGGCGGCGGTGTTTGTTCTCAGACTCTATCATCGTCGCCTGTGCTTTGTGCATCTGCTCAACAGCCTGCTGCATCAAGTGCTCATATCTATACGCAAACTCTAGAGTCCCTGGTGCGGCAGTCGGCTGATTGTCAGGTAGTAGGAAGTCTAAAGGCAGTCGGGGTCTGAAGGTCAGTAGCAAGCTGTTAGGACTGACTCCGGTTGCGCTGTGCACAACACTATTGTACAAATTGATGATGAGAGCAAGTTTCTCATCCCTGTCTACCTGATTTGGCTTGATGTAATGCCTTAACAGGTGTTGTACAGCGCGGTTCATTTGTTCAGCCTGCCCGTTTGCCTTGGGATGATTGCCTGATGTCATCTGCAGTTGCGTGCCTTGCTCTGCAGCTGCTGCTTTCCACAATTCGCTGGTAAATCGCACGTCCCGGTCACTAACGATAGACTTTGGCAATCCAAAATCTCTAACCCAATTCTCCTTGAACATTTTAATCACATCCTCCGTCTTAGCTGTTGTCGGCATTGCAACTAACCTAGCAAACTTACTAAAACCTATCCACAATGACGTAGATGTAGGGCATTCCACTCTTGCTGGTGACCAGCGTATCCATGAAGTCCATGGGCAGGCTCTCACCAGGCCTTTTCGGAATCGGAAGGGGCTTCAGGAGCCCAAGAGGAGCCCGAGTACGTGGCTTGTCCCTCTGACAAACCTGACAAGTCTCCACATACAGCTTAGCATCTCTCATCAATGTGGGCCACCAGAACCGCTGCAGCAGGTTAGCTGCAGTCTTCTTGAACCCACAATGTCTTGTGGCATCATGACATTCGCCTAAAAATAAACTACGCAAAGACTCCCTATTAGGCACACACAAACGTTTATTCCCTGCCTTCTCAAGGAACAGCAGGCCCTTGACCAACTCAAACTCAACAGAAGTCTGTTTGTCCTTTGCCTCGAGTTTGCATATGATCTCGGCCATAAACGGGTCCTCGCGATAGGCTTCCACCAAAGACTGAGTAACATTGTCCGCAAGATTGAACTCAGTAATCAGCGCACCTGAGAAATCAGGTTTATGCGACAAGGCATCAGCAACCTTGTTGTACTCACCCTTGATGTACTCACCCTTGATGTATTGGGGCTCGAAGTCATACTGCTCTATGACTTCGATCCAATGCTTCAAAGCGTCAGAGAGCACCGACTGAGTTCTCATCCATCTCAGTGTCTGATGATCAGTCCTGAGGATGAAAAACCTCCCAAGGAGATAGTGCCTCCAATATGTTAGAGCCTTCTAAACCGCATAGAGTTCCTTCTCATAGGTGGACTTAACCAACTTCTGAGACAGCATTTTCTTGGACATGTACTCAACTGGCCTCAACTTTTTTCCCTCCTGTTGTGCAAGTACGTCGCCTATGCCATATTGGCTAGCATCCATAGTCACTATAAATGGCTTGTCAAGATCAGGAAGTTTCAAGACTTCATAATGCGTCAACGCATGCTTCAGATGTCTGAAAGCAGCCTCGCATCTCTCAGTCCACTCCCATGGGGTGTCAAGGCGGGTCAAATCAGTGAAAGGGGCGGCAACTATGCTATAGTTCTTCACGAACTTGCGATAGTAGCCGGCCATCCCTAAGAAAGACCTCATCTCAGTCACAGACTGAGGACGCGGCCAGTCACGAATGCTGGCCACCTTCGCGTCATCGGGCTTCCACGGAGTTCTCATGACCCAAGTACAAGACATAGGTGCAGCCAAACTCGCACTTCTCACCGTTGATCTTGAACTTGTGCTGTCAAAGGAGACTAAGGACTTTGTCCAGGTGTGCAACGTGCTCCTCGACAGTCTTACTAAAAATAAGTATGTCATCGAGGTACACGATGACAAACTTATCCAAGTAATCATGAAATATCCGATTCATAGCATGCTGAAAGGTGCCAGGAGCATTGCAAAGGCCGAAAGGCATCACCACAAACTCGTACAGACCGTACGTGGTCTGAAATGCGGTTTTGTGTTGATCCTCGGGCCGGATTGTAATCTGATGGTACCCGGACTTCAGATCTATCTTACTGAAGTACCGACACCCTTGCACTCTATCTAGCAAATTGTCGATGCGCGGTAGGGGCTCTCTGTTCTTAACAGTGATGGCATTGAGGCCCCTATAGTTAATGCACATCCTAAGTGTTCCCTCCTTCTTAGGTACGAATAGTACTGGAGACCTGTAAGGAGAAACACTCGGCCGGATCCAACCCTTCTCTACGAGTTCCTTGAGTTGCCGGCGAAGCTCATCGAGCTCGTTTGGAGACATTCGATAGATCCTACCCTTTGGGATACTAGACCCTGGGATAATCTCTATTGCGTGGACGACCTCCCTCTCAACAACCCCTGTCGACTCTTCAAATAGATCAGGGTACTTACCAACTACTCCCTCTATTTCAGGCGGCATTTTCACCGGCTCGCCTGCAGTAGAGACGTAAATTAGGTACATACCCTCCTGATTTTTTTTGCTTATAATAATTATAGAACGCGGTCGCACACATGAATCCGTGGAACTCGATCAGACTACTAGCTTTGAACTTACACAATCTAGTGGTCCCTCCACCTAGCAAAGTGTGTTTGACCACTTTTCGGTCCCAGTCAAATTGGGGCTGTGCCACAGAGAGGTAGTACATACCTAACAACATATCCACGGGGAGTTCGTCACTTACTAGGAATGAGACGCGATGTCTCAATTCCTCTCCCACGTACGGGAAACAACACTCAACATCTTGGAGGTAGTCGTTGACTACCATGCGCTGCTTGTTGGCATAGGTCGACTCCACAGGTCGACTCAGGCGCTGCACTTGCCCTTGTAAGCGCAGCCTCTCAACGCACGCGCGACTAATGAAGTTCCTAGTCGAGCAAGTGTCATAATAGGCCCCGACCTTGCGGCCGCCAATAACCACCTCTCGGACGAACATCTCACCCTTCGGGGCTTTGACTAATGCCGTCCAAGAAGCTAGTGGGTCTGATCTGGACCACTCCTCCTCTAGCTCCTCTAAGGACTCGAACACATTCATCGAACAGAGACTCGATGGGTCTGAATGTGTTTGCGGGACGACGCTGGAGTGAGTAGCTTGGACCATCTCTTGAGATGGTGAGGGTGTCTTGACCACCTCGACCCTAGGAGGAACAACTACTATGCCTACTGGCCCGACGTGTTTCCCGGAGCAGTGCCAGAAGTACTAGCTACATTGCTACCGATGGGATGGGAGGATCCCAACGCTTGCCCCATCCTAGGCGGGATCTTCTCAGTCACCTTCTTATTACGACACTTGAATTGGTTATGGCCGTACTGGCCACAACGAATGTAAGCCTGTCGTGTGTACCGATCTCTCCACACGTCCTCTGTGAGACCCGCTTTCTACCATGGAGGAGCATTGGGGTCAACTTGACTCCTTGACTGGGAACCTCCTCGGCGGCTACCGGTCGCCTTACCTTTCTGAGCTACGACAACAACTACTCCACCCCCTGAAGCTTCTACGCTGCCAGCCTCTAAACCTACTCCCTCCTAGAAGTTGTCGTCTAACTCAATGGTTGAACCATGGTTATCGACAAACATAATGCGGCCGTTCGCCTTCCAGTTGGGAGGCAGTGTTTTCTTCCTACCTTCCGTTGTGGGATTATGTCCATGCCCTATCTTCGCCTCAAGGTCTAGGGCCTTCTTGCTGAATGAGGGGAAGTTGTGAACATTGATGTTGGCCTCACCTGCCAACTGATTCTTGAGAGGCATAGGAAAGCATCTCAGGTAAGAGGTGAGTAGAACCTGGGGGTCATAGCACACCCCAGGGACACAGATCAGACGCTCTACAGCGTCAGTGGCCTCCCTAACTGACTTAAACTGCCTCGTGTGCAGTGTCAGGATCACATCAGTGGCTTCTTTAGCCTCCTGAGGATCATGCCACCTTTCCTCCACCATCTTGAGGAAGTCCTCCAGTTTCTGGTGGGCTGCCCAAGCCCGGAAGTCATGACCGTACCCCTGCAGTTGCTCTAAACCGCTCAACCATCGTGCTGCACTACCCTCTAAGTAGGATGCAGCCACAAGCACTTCCTCATGCGACAAGGTAAGCTTACACTTGACATAGACCGGCACTGCCCTCAACCAAGTGTCGAGGTCTTCGCGTCTCCTATCCCCTGTGAAGGGTTTAGGAGTGGCGATGGCCGTCTTTGGTACCCACTGAGTTTGTCACGGTCCCTGCATCACTCCGGGCTGTGGATCCTGTGACACAGGCTGCTGTGCTAGCTGCTGGGGCTGTGTACCCTGCGGCTGTACAGGCTGCGAGACAGCAGGTTGCGTGGTAACCGCAATCTGCAACGGAGATTGGGTAAACACTGTCTGTACAATAACCAGCACTCTAGAACCTGCTGATAACCCGCCTGATAGCGGCATACCCAGGGAAACGGTCTGGACTGATGCTGGGGTTGTGTATGGGGATACCCCAGTCACCGGTGGGACAAAAGGAGGAGGCTGTACAACGGGCCAGGCACCAGGCCCGGACATCGATGGCGCTGCCTGCGCTCGCCCAGCCAAGAGGGCCAGACTTTGCTGAATGTCCTGAAGGATGGCCGTCTGGTGGTCCTGCATTTCAACTACATTTAGCAGGACGGACTGAATGGTCCTCACATCATCACTCGTGTGCGTCAGGTCCATCTCCTCTAACTCACTAACGTCCGCTTGTCTCCGCTGCATCCTGGCTCTTCTTCTAATCATCCTTTCCTTCTCCGCTTTTCTCTCTCCTAAAGCCTTCTGTAGCTGTGCCTCCTGCAATGCGGCTTGTTGTATGGCGATCTCATCGGGAGTTGACACTATTGGCTGGCTTGCCATAACGCCAGTGGACTGACTCAGGGTCTGTGCGACCGTTGACCCTACAGATCTTGAACTACTAGCCTGGGAACTCTGCTGCGTAGAAGTGGCCATGGCTGCTGAGACTGCAGCTTCACTTGCGAATGCCCTGCTTGCCTCTTCGGCCCTACCTCTCCTCTGCTGCTGCTGCCTCTCCCTACGCTGGCAGAACAGATATCTGTCACCCTCTGGTCCTAATGCCAAATGGGCAATTGGGCGCCTTGCCGATCGCAAGATCCGGTCGTCCGGTTGCTGTTCTTCCCTGTCGCTCATAAGCTACAGTACTGGGCACAATCTGCACTAGACTACTCTAAGTGCCTACCACAGCGTAATGCCCAGACCAGTTAAAAATAAATAAATACTTAATTGGTGGCTATTTCGGAGTAGATACATTTGGGGTCAACAGGTAAGTTCAGATTCCTACAAACGCAACCTATTTCACTTTGATTAGTCCGCAAACAGAAAGCACAAGGAATAGAAAACTGTTCTAAGTAGTGCTGTCTGTCAGATGATAAATGGCTGTACATCTAACTAGTCAAAATAAAAATAGAATCGTTTGTTTGGTCTGTTCACAGCATGGTATCTTACCCGAACTTATCACCTGGAATCTACCCTTTCCCCAATTCCCCTTGATTGTCACTTGACGTCAGCGTCCCTGAGCTATCCAGAGAGCAGTGCGTGACTAAACGTGTGCACGGCCCACCCCTGTGCCTCGAGTAGCTGCTGAGCCGGCCAGCCGTGCACTATGTTTATCCTCGTGTGCACGAGCCTTACAACCATTGGCTGATCCAGAGGCAATTTAACGACTGCCCCCAAGTGTCATCAGGAATTATTTTACGTCGCAGGAGGACGACGATCACAGCCAATGGTTTCCCCTTCCGGTGTTTATTTAAAGACGCCTGGTCTCGTCTCCCACTTAGGGCTGGCCTGCCGTTCAGTACCCATCTAACAGCGCAGCGAGCCGAACAAAGGACAAGCAGCAAAGCATGCGTGCTCTACTCCCGGTGGGTTGGCATGGTGACCGTGACCCAGTGCTTTGTCCAGGGCCCTTCAGAAAGCTCCGCCCATCTTCTCCCAGATGCTCCACGTGAACATTGCCGACTCTCAAGGTTGAGCGCACTCGACACCTCACAATGAGAGGACTCTCAAGAAGGAACCCACAACCTCACGGTAAGAAGTGATGGAGAGGGTAGATAAGGTTAAGAGCAACGTACCTCATTATAGCTTCCCCCAACCACAGATATTCTCACCAGATGACCTGATGGCGATTGCGCACTGCATCGGCACAACCAGCATTGTCTCGCCGTTCCACCTCAGCATCAATCAACCATCAGATAGTTCTCATCACACTGTGAACACCCAATGTACACACCATAGCCTTCCTGGCGATCCCCTCACCTCCTGGGTCGCCACTCCTTGTCTCCGCCCTCCTCACTACGCACCCCCTACGGCCTCACTCACCAAGCAGACCGCATGTATGTACCGCATAGGCAGAAGACAAGCTCCAGATGAGCACAACGAACCACAGCTCCGATACCAAATTGCAAGGAAGATGAGCAATAGCGAACTTCAGCAATCAAACAGCATCATACATATGAGACCAGATAGTCGTGACCTCGAACCAACAGCAGAATTGCATCACGAGTTTCACCAAATAAGAACACACCAAGAGTTCATAATTGACAATGCTGAAATAGTCCCCTCATCATCATCAACGAAGAACCAAAGTTGATATCCTATCTGGCGCTCGACGCCCAGACTACAGCTGGCAGACCCTATCTAGCCTAGACTACAATGCCGAAGATGACGTTAACAGCTTTCCTGAAGTACGAGCATACATCAACCGATGTCGCACGCTTCCAGCACCAGGTATGTCTCTCGCCTCACTCACAACCTCGTTCCCCAA